TAATTTAATTGTTGTACACTTTTTATTTCTTTAGTTTTCCTCGTGTTATTTCCTAATTCATCCTTTGTTTTTCTTATCTTATAATTTATAATTTAACGGTCGCATACTTCTTACTGATTTCTGATTTCTCTAGTTTTCGTCGTGTTATTTCCTAATTCACCCTTTTTTTTTTTTCTTGAAAGTTAGCCACTAAACACCACTCACTCACGGGCATCTCTCGCCATCCTTACTTTCCCATCGCAAAGAAATCTCCTCCGTCCATTTCCATCTTGACGGCCCCCACTTCTCTCCGTAGGTGCCCCTTCTCAACCGAGACATCGTACGGACCAATTCACTCAGCGACGGAGGTGGACCCCACCACAGACATCACGAGCCCAAGGATGCCGCGGTGGGATCGGTGGTTCTCCTGGACCCTGTCGTCCCCCGAGCTCTACTCCCCTCCTCAACGCAACCAGCCCTCAGTGCCTGCCTCCGCCCTCGCACTCCACCCCTCCCAACCCCAAAAAATAAAGGAAGAGAAGAGGTGTAACTAAAAGCTCGCTCACCTATGACTTATCCCGCCGCCGCCGCTGCCGCAGTCGCAGACGAGGAGGACGAATCCCCCGAATCGCCGGCCGAGAACCTCGACCTCATCCTGCACCATCTCCTCCCCTTCCTCCTCGCCGCCGCCCTCTCCGCCCGGTCCCTCGTCGGCCGGTGGCGGCTCATACATTCCAAGCTTTCCTTCCTCGGAGCCGCCCTCGCCGACGCCGCTGCCTCCCCCCACTGGCCCTCCAACCCACTCTTCTGCGATCATCTCCTCCCCGCCCTCCGCGCCACCCTCCGCTCCCTCCGCGCCCTCTCCGCCCGCTGCCTCGACCCTTCTCTCTCGAGCGGCAAGCTCCGGCTCCAGAGCGACCTCGACGTCGCGGCCTCTGCTCTCACCCTCCACCTCCACGATCTCCATCTCCTCCTCCGCTCCGGCCTCCTCCACCACGACGCTTCTCCCCCCAACTCTTCGTCCGCTTCCGACGACGATGCCGCTATTGTCCTCCCACTTCCGGGTCCCTCCGCGTCCCGCGCCGAGGTTGTCCTCTTCATCCGCGACCTCTTTGCCCGCCTCCAGATCGGCGCCATCGACCTCAAGCACCAGGCCCTCGACTCCCTTCTCGACCTCGTCGCTGCCGACCCCGCCAAGTTCTCCCGCCTTGTCGCCGAGGAGGGCGACCTCCCGCCCCTCCTCCGCCTCCTCGACGCATCTGACCACTCCCTCCGCGACCGCGCCGCTGCTGCCGTTTCCCTCCTCGCCTCCGCCTCGGACGCCTCCCGCCGCGCCATCTTCGAGGAAGGCGTCCTCGGCCCCCTCCTCCGCCTCGTGGATTCTGGCTCCCCCGCCCTGAAGGAGCGCGCCGCCGCCGCGATCCAAGCTATGACCGCCGACCCCGCATGCGCCTGGGCCGTCTCCGCCTACGGCGGCGTCTCGATTCTCGTCTCCGCCTG